AAAAAAAAAAAAAAAAAAAAAAAAAAAAAAAAAAACAAATCAGTCTGGGCACTCAGCCTGTTCACTTCCCTGGTGTCACTGTTTCCTGGCCCACCTAGAGCAGGATGCTGTATGAACAGGAAACCATGCACACACAGACCAAGAACTATATCTACAGCTATCAATCCAAAATACCAGCTCATCAGCCCAATCTCATCCAGTGCCACAAGGTCACTTGATTCCTCCCTTGCTTACTTAGACTCCTTCCCCACTGGGAGAAACCAACTTCCTTGTCCAAGCCCAGAAGCATGTGAAGCAGTCTCAGGACTTCGGCCCTGCGCCTCACAAGAAACCACCTACCACCCAGAGAACGACATTCATACACAGGCCCCTCTTTTCTGCAGCTTTACTATTTCTAGTCAAAACTGTTCTCCAGGCTCCTTTTCTTCACACCCCTGATGAGAGCAGGCACGGCATTTAAACTGAGCCTCTGCCCTGTCTGTGTGTCCCGTTCCTGGAGCCCTAACATCTGCACCACAGTCCACCCTTTGGGGACGGACAGATCTATGGGTCTCATCACGTGCATGGCCCTGCACCCACCACCTCCATCTGCATCAACAGCCCTTTGCCCCCAGTGCCCAGGGTATCCTCTAGAATCACTGATTTCCCAGTTTCTGGCAGCCACTCATCTACTTTCTGTCCACACAGATGATCCTATGAAGCAAACATTCTTTTTCTCGATGAGTAGTGTTCCACTGCATGGTCATGCCAGTCTGTCTATCTATCCCCCGGTTAAAGGACATCCTCACTCTCCCGGTTATGGCACTTAGGAAAAAAGCTGCAAACAAAACCACAAGCCTGTATAAGCCCTGTGGGTGAGAGTTCCCAATCTCTCAAGATGAACTCCAGCAGGCTGGACTCCAGGGTCCTGTGGTAGGAGTTCAACAATCTGTTATCTAAGTGCTAAGTCACTCTGCAGCTCCAGTGGGAGCCACCTCCTGAAGCTCTGCCTCACCGGGGCCCAGTCTGCGCTGCATCTTGCCACCACGAGCTGTGGGTCCCCAGGGTCTTCGTTTGCATGTTCCTTGTGACTCATGATGCTCACAGCCTTCCAACTTATTTGCTGCCATCCACATTTTTGCTTAGTTGCTTTATTACTGACTTTCAAGAGTTCTTTATATATATACTGTGGACACATGTCTTTATCAGACATGGGATTTGTACATATTTTATCCCACCAGAGACCTTTCTTTTCATGTTCTATTTTTGGTACCGAGGATTGAACTTGGGTCCTTGCACTTATGAGGAAGGTAGTAGAACCACTGAGCTAAATCCCCAGCCCTTCTTTTCATATTCTTAACACTTCTTTTGTAGAGCATCTTATCAATTCACCTTTGATAGAATGTGTTTTTAGTGTTGTATCTACAAACTAAGGCCAAATTCAAATGCCTGTAGATCTCTCGTCTTTACTTCTGGAAGTATTAGTTGCACATTTTACAATGAAGTCTGTGATCTAAGAAGTTTTTAAAGTTTTTTTTGCTGGTTTGTTTCGTGGGACTGGGAACTGAACCTGGGTCCTTTGCACTGAGCTCCATCCCCACCCCTTTTTATATTGTTTGAGACAGGTCCTAAGTCACTACGTTGTCCAGGCTGGGCTCTTTCTACCCTCCTGCTGCAGCCTCCTGAGTGCCTCCCTGCCTGGCTCCTAAGGAGCATTTTGAAGTTGTAGGCACCTTCACGTGAACGGCTGGTTAACATCTAAGTGTTAAGGTAAGAGACACAGAGAAGAGGACCAGCCGGGCCCTCGGGAAGCCCTCCACCCAACTCTGCTCCCTGTCCTCATCCCTGCACCTGTGCCCACCTCCGCCATCCCGTGGACTCCTGAGGAGGAGTCTGGTGCTCCAGAGCGGCATTTCTCCAATTATTTAGGGGGAAGGATGAATTTTGTTTCTTTCCACTTTACAAAATGCAAGAAAATGAATTATAAGAAAAAAGAAATGTAAAATCAAAATACAAGCATATGTTTTTCATTATCGGATTCAAAAGACATGCCAAGTATGGTGGTGGCTGCCTACAATCACAGCTACATGGGAGGCTGAAGCAAGAGGATTGCAAATTCGAGGCCAGCCTGGACAATGTAGTGAAACCCTATCTCCAGAAAACAAACAAAAGAAAACTCTACATTCAACAGACATTCATCTGTGTAGCTGCTTCACAAGTGGCTAAAAGGCTGAACCTGGGCCTGCTGGCCCTGTCCCATCCTGGCCAGCACTGGGACGATGATGGCCCCACTGTGTGCAGTCGCACTGGCCCACAACACACTCAGCAAGCCCAGCACTGGGACCTGGTTTCATTTGCTCTGTGAACCACCAGCCACTCCTGCTGCCCCAGCGTCTCCTCTGACTGCAGCACAGCACATGCAAGAAGCAGAGCACCGGGCCTGGGGGCAGCTCTTCCCGAGGACAGGGCTGAGGTGGCTGTGCTGCTCACCTCGATGATGTCCTCAACGCCAAGCTTCACATCGAAGGCCAGCTCCATGTCGTGCTCCGGGAGGATGGGGGCTGCGGTTGCCGGGTTCCACCCTAGGCCACAGAGGACACCAGTGTAGCATTTCCCCTCCTGGTCCAACCTGAATTAAATGCGTTGAGAGAAGAATCACTTCACAACTGGTAAGCCACTATTTTAAGTTAAAGAACTGACCAATAAACCATCCTTTCATTAGTGTTTCTTCCAGTTCTTACACTAAAAATTTAGATCAAATACACAGTGTAACAACAGCAAGTTAAATATTTATATTGCCCTAACATTAAGTTTCTAATTCTCACTGTGGTGTGTAAGATGATGGAAAGATGATTTTATCACATAGTTTTCCATGGGCTGAGTTCCTACCAGAGAGATTGCTAGAGGAAGTCATCCACAGCTCTGCATCCGTGTCACAAGCCTAGCACATAGTAAAAGCCTAAAGGCTATGTGTCCACCTCCTAACCTCAACAACTACACACACTTACACTGCAAAGCTGCACAGCCCAGTTAAGCCCGGATCCCACCCCATCCCCATGTCATCTGCCGCTGCCACCTCTGCGGTCCAGCTAAGTCTGTCAGTCCCCTCCGGAAACCCTGCTGCCACTGGCCTGTCAAACCACAGCCACTTCCCACCTGAACACATGCCGCAACTGTCAGGCCAACGAATCTCCCCACCTCTACTGCTTCTGCCAACCTCTGTGGTGCAGAGTGGGACCTTTCCAAACAACTCCAGCAACGTCTTCCCTGTTCAAGGGCTTATACTCTGAACACCGCCAGGGCCCACAAATCACAGTGAAATCGTCCCTCTCCTGCATGGCCTCCCATGGGGTCCTTTTCCCACCCAAGCAGCACAGCACCACCTCTGCTGCGGGGCCACCACACCACTCCCCTGCACCCTCACCCCCAGGGCCTGGTGCCACTCAGTTCCCACACTCCACAAATGAGGGTCTTGTTTTGAGGGTTTCTGTTTTATGTTTTGGAGACAGGAGTCTCACTATGTCAGCCAGGCTGGTCTCGAACTCCTAGGCCCAAATGATCCTTCTGCTTGCACCTCTCCAGTAGCAGGGACCACAGGCGTGAGCCACCACTCCGGGCTCGGGAGCAGTTTAAATGCATGGTCCCAGCCCACAATAGGTCCAAGAAGGAAATACAGTGAACGGACGCAACCACTGAATTCCTTTTAAAATATTTTGCTGATTTCACTGAAAAATATCAATATCTTTTCCCCATCACCTAAAACAGTCTTTTCTCCAGCTAGTGGTATAACTGACAAAAATAAGCATTCTAGAAGCAGACCCCACAATCGTGCCTGTGGCCGTATCCATCACCACACATCACCACACACACACACCACACCATTTCTCTCTCTTTTTTTGGTACCAGGGCTCAAACGCAGGACCTTGCACTTGTGCTTGCAGGCAGTGGCACCACCTGCACAGCTACCATTTCTGGGTACAGAGAACACACAGGACCTGTTCTCTCAGCAGATCTCCACTGAGTAACACAGTACTGTCATCACGTGTCCATCAGGTCCCACAACTTTTCATTTTACAACTGCAAGTGTATAGATCAATTAAGTTTTGTTTTTTGCGACAGAGTCTTCTCCCTATGTTGCCCAGGTTGGTCTGAATGGGGCTCAAAGGATTCTCCTGCCTCACCTCCCAAGTAGGTGGGACTATAGGAACAGGCAACAACACCTAGCTTAATTAAGTTCTGATTTTAAAAAAATCTAGCAAGGCATGGTGGCGCATGCCTGTAATCCCAGCACTTGGGAGGCTGAGGCAGGAGGATCACTGTGAGTTCAAGGCCAGCCTGGGCTACATGGCATGACCTTATCTCAAAATGCCCCCCACAAAAAAGTGAAATGTTAGTCAAGCTGAAATGTCCATATAAAGAACTCTGTCAAATACTCAGACACGGCCCTGGCTTACCCTACAAAGGGCCAAATGGCTGGCTGTGCGAAGTCATGAGGCTGTCTCCCTAGGAAGTGCTTCCCACCCTTCCACCTCCTCATCAGACTGCTGGCACAACTGGTGTGGGACATCCAGGGCCGAAAGCTACTACCCAGGTAGCCCACAACCCTGACAACCCCTGCCATGGTCCTGGCGAACAACAAAATCCCCAGTACAGCTGGGGTGGCAGCAGGGCCTGAAGGGAGCCCCATCAGCCTCTCCCAGCAGGACTACGCTTCCAAGGCCTGCCACACCTGAGGGCATTCCCTCTCTCACCTTGGGTTTCCAAGGGAACCTTTATGGCATCATCAAATTCTGAGGCTTTTTCAAAACAAGAGGCACAGGTTAAAACAACAAATCATGAGGCGGCACATGGGCGGTACTCTGCAGACACTCCAGGCATAAAGTTCAGTGCACACAGCAGGCCACACCTCCCACGCATCTCCCCTTCCCACACATTGCTCTCATGGTAGGCACAGCTGCTTCCAGGGCAGGGGGGTGGGCAGTGACCCCGCACTGTGCTCGGCCCAGCTGGCACCCAGCTCTCTCGGGACCCTGGCTCCCAGCACCAGCAGGCTCCTAGCACACAGGCCATCTGGGGAGGCATCCAACAGTACCAACACAGCCACTGAGCAGAGCAGACATGATCCCACCTTCCAGCCTGCGGTCTCCCAGCCCAAGTCTCTGAGGTGGTGGCAGATATCCCTGGTGAGCATAGTCCCAATGCCCCATCCACAGAACAAAATATAGCCACTGCACCCTACCACACTGCTTTTCTGAGACAAGGTCTCACTGTGCAGTCGAGGCCGGCCTTGAACTCAATACGTAGCCCAGGCTGGCCTCGAATTTACAGCAATCTTCCTGCCTCAGTCTCCAAGTGCTGGGATGGCAGGAGTGCACCACCACGCCTGGTAGCCAGCTACCTTGTTTTGTGGTTGAGCTCCAGCCATAGTAACTGGAACATCTGGCTAAGCAGCATCAGTCCCCCTGTAACCCACTCCTCACATTTTTATCAGCCTTAAGGAGAGAACGTTCTGCTGATGCTGTTTCGGGGCCCTCCCAGAAGCAGTGCCACATCAGGCTGAGCACTGCCTGCAGGTCGCAGGGCCCCATACTGGGATGACTCTCATCACTGTGCCAGCCCAGAGGCGCGCAGCTCCCCACTGCAAAGCACCGACTTCCAGGGAAGCACAGTGCCCACCCATGCACTGCCCCAGCTGTTCATGGAAGGCACCGTGGGGAATGAGGGCAGCAAAAGCAGTGGAGTGGCCTGGGACAGATGTGGCTGCAGACAAGGGGAGGTCACAGGCAGAGCCACCGGGCCTAGTCCTCACTCTCAAGGGCAGCTCACTCAAAGGACCTGCGGCAGGAGGTGAGTGAAGCCCAACTGCCAGGCCAGGAGCAAGAAAGCAGCAGGGTCCCTAGGGGATTTCTGGCTCACCAATGGGGACAGCACACATCTCATTTCCCTCTCCACCAAAACCAAAGTTAAGGGCCGGGGATTTAGCTCAGTGGTTCCACCACCTGCCTTGCAAGCGCAAGGACCCAAGTTCGATTCCCCATACCAAAAAAAAAAAAAAAGTTAAGAACTTAATTCTTCATTTATTTATCTTCCCTCTTCCCCCTACGATTCAAAGAATGTGTTGGAGGCAGTAAGAAGTACTGAAGTCAGAATCAGCTGTGACAGGGCACGGACAGGCCTGGAGGAACAATGGAGACACAGGCCTTGTTTCCTCCGCTGCGGCACCAAATGGCACTGGAGCAGATGAGCTACCTCGCAGGTGGTCGCCACAGCACAGCAGCATGCACTCCCCAGGAGCTGTGGGTCCATGAGGAAGCTCCTCTGGGGAAGCGCCCCTGACACAGTGAGGGACAGGTTCCCCAGGCCACAAGAATTCCAAAGAACGCCTGCTTCCCGGGGGTGGGGGGGGGGACAGCTGTGGTGGAGGAAAGGAAAATGCTCATCTCAAACCACCTCTCTCTCTCTCATATTCCAAAAGTCTCTCCAAAGTGATTGCTATTGACTCAACAAATGGGCAGAGTTTGGACAAAAATTTACCAGGCCCCCTTCCATTCCTCACAGCCACCTAGTTAAGGATTCAAAGACAGCTACAGAAGATCTGTGACACATGATGGTCCCACTTAGCGTTTTGCAGCTTTTACCACAGAGTACAAGCAATATGCATCCAGCAGAAGCTGCACTTAGCCCACACCCACACCCACCAAGGAACTGGAAAGGGGCAAAGGGTGACTGACTCCTTTCCTCCTGAATGCAGACAGGCCTGGCGTCAGCCCTGTTCCCATCTCACCCACCAAAAGGGGCTTCTCACCCTCAAGCCCACTCCTAACTGCCACCCTCTGTGAAACACATGGTTAGTGCTTCGGCCACCATGGACCCTCTGAGGCCCCACGTACCCAAATAAAACTTCACAAACAACAGCTGCCTCCTCACACAGTTCTCCGCTCTGCTCCGCATGAAAGCCTCTGGAAGAAACCTCTGCTAGGCCTCGGCTCGAAAGGCGCTTCCACCAACCCTGCAGGTGTCCATCTCCTGGCTTCCCTGCCTGTGGCACGGGGGCTGAAGGGGCTCCCACTGTCAAATGGCCACCAGAAAGCTCGGGCTCACAGGCACAGCCATCTACAGCAGGGTGCCTGTCACCCTCTCCATGTACCTTGCCACACTCTTGGCTCTTGAAAGACGTCCAAGTGCAGCACAGATGTTCCTCTACCTCTAGGGGCTCACACCTGATTCGCCCATCCCCAGCTGAACTATCCTAAGCTGGAAATATACAGTGCACACCTGGCCCCTGAACATGGCAGCTCGGCGCCTCCCCTCCTACCTGTGGGGTTGAATGCACGGCACTGTGAGAGGATCAGAGCATGTACTGTAAGCCCAGGGAAACATTAAGGTTCACATAAGTACAGTTTCTCCTGTGCAAGTGTCACTTGTTAAAAAATTCAGATGTTGAATCATCATGAGCCAGGGCCAAACAATGCCAACAAAAAGAAGGCTGAATCACAAGGAAGCACAGGAGATGGCCAGGCCACACCATGCCAAGTCCTTACCCAAAGGAGGGAGCAAGGGCCCACTTCTCCCCACCCAGGTCCTCACCTGAGCCAGGTCTACATGTGGACAAGGCAGAGGCCCTCACCTACCTCAATTCCATCACTGGTGCGAACAGCATGCCAAGGAGTGCTGGGAGGCCAGGGATGGGAGGCATCAGCGAGGTCTCTCTCAGCAGCATGGTAGACCCTGGCGCACAGTGAGCCATGTCAGCATCAGGCTGCACCACACACTGCTCAGACGTGGCTCCTTCCTAGTTGGCCCTACTGGCCTGTGGCACCCCTCTTCCACTGAGTCTGTCTCTACTGGTCCCCCCATTCCCTGCCGCTCCCTATTCCTGGATCCCGCAGACCCTGTAGACAGATACCACACAAAGACACCTAGGCATTAATCTTACTGAGAATAGCTCAGGTGGTTACTCTTTGCCTTCTCCTTATTGGTCTATTGGATTGTCCCAAGGCCAAGAACTCGCAGGGTTAGTGCTTGTTCTCTTGGAAGGATGAGAGTAATTCCCACATCTGTGCATAAAAGGAAAATGGACAACGCTGTGTGCGTGTGTGTGTGTGTGTATCACTGGGGCCTTCACAATGAGCTGTATCCTCAGCCTTTTACATATTTTTGTTTTGAGACAGGGTCTCGCTAAATTGCCTAGGCTGGGCTTGAACTAAAAATCCCTCTTAGCCCCACAGTGTGCTGGGATTACAGGTGTGCATTTCCATGCCCAGCTTCTATTTCTCAAACTTGCATCAGCCAATGCACTTAGGAAATAGCCTAAAAGTATAACATGTGAACACAAAGGAGAGCGAGGAGGACACAGACAAACAGAAGCCGATGGCTCACCAGTTGCATTGACTGACAGTGAGGCTGCGACCAGCACCCTCTGGTGTGGTTCTGCCGGGGCATCACTGATGATGACCGAGTTGATGCTCTCCTTGTCAATCCAGACACACCTAGAAGAGCAACAGGCACAGGCCTCTGATCTACTAACCAGGCCCCAGTGAGAGCACTTCAAGTCCCGCATGCAGACGCAAGGAGCCCCTTCCTCCACCCACTCTCCCTGTGACTTCCCCAGGTCCGCTCGGTGTTAGGTACCCCATGTACAGACACCCAAAACTGCTCTGACTCAGTGTAGCCCACCTCAGCGGAGGCCAGGAGCAGCTCTGCAGCCACCTCCAATTCTCTGGCCCTCATCACTGACCCTAACCAAGCTCCAGCCTACAGGCTCCACACCTGAAAGCACTTGGGCAGCTCTTCTTTCTGCACCTCTTGCCCCAGCTCAGCTAAATTGAGAGCAGCCTCAGAGCTGCACCTCTGTAGGGCCCTTCCACTCTTCAGATACATGCAGACCTCAGAGAGTTTGCAGAAACATGTGCTCACTGACGGGCCCCGGTAGGGCTGAGTTCTGCATTCCTGCAATTTCTCCAGGCTGCTACTGCTTCTGAAGGACTTTAAGAAGCAAGTGTTTAGTCAGTGATCCTTAAATGCACACAGCTGGGCTTCCCAAATGTGTTCAGATGAAGTCTTAAAAACATAGCTTATAAAGCTTGCCTTCATCTACCCCAAGGTCTAAGCCCTCTTCCCCAACCCAATTCTCCTATCAAAACAAACATTCAAAGTCCTCACCAGTACAAATCCTAAAAGTCAGGCCCGTGCACTTAACCCTGGAATTGGGTCCTCCCTCCCACAACACCTCCCACCTACTCCTCTGCAGGCTTTGGGTCTCTGACTCTCTGAGAAACTCCATGGCTTCCCAGCGTGGCTGCAGCCACATCCCAGGTACTTTCACAATGTCCCGTGATCTTGATCAAGACCCTGGTGTTACCCTAGGTTGCTATCACTTTTCTTTTCTACCCAAAAATCCTAGTGTGAGAGCACCTGTGTCTTGTTCACTAACAATTCCCCACACCATGCAGACCTGCTGAGTGACAGTTGTAACCAAAAGAGAAGATATGGATGGAGGCTTTGGTGAAAGACACTACTCAAAGATGCTAATGGGAAATGGATTTCATGGAAGAAAGAAAGAATGTCTCAGATTCAGGGCTAAAAAGAAAATTAGGATAAGTTTTTAAAACATTCCAACAGTTTACATATCAAGAAAGATCACCTTCTCTCTGTTTTCTTCCCCCTGTACCAGGGATCAAACTCAAGACCTTGCTTTTTGCCAGGCAGGCAAGGCAGGAACCACTGAGTTACATCCCCAGCCCAAGAAAGATTAGTTTCTGATGAAGTATATAAGCTGAAGGACAGAGAAAAAAATTCATGGGAAATTAATCATACCTGAATTTGGATATTCTGGTCAAACTATGACACTTCAGTTCATAAGGGTTAAAAGGCCCATGGAGTATGGTCTGCACACACAAAACACACAGTGTGACCAACAAGCAAGACACTACTTAACATGAATTTCAAAGTCAGCTCATACTTTCAAACACTACATTTCACAGTATCTTCAAAATGTGCTGGGGAACAGCCTGAAACCGCACTGGCAGGCTATAAAATATTACTGAATTGGCTTATAATTGGCCATTGATTGACTGTGACTCTTTCCTAGGCCTAGTGACTTGCTAGATGAGCCCTGGCTGGGATACCAAATCAGAACTCCCTATGCCAAAGGTCACAGTTGAGATCTCAATGGCACCTCTGATAGCAAGATCATACTGCAGCTGGGGATTTGACTCTGCGCAGCCTTTCTCCCAGTGTTCACTAGAGATAACAGGTGGCTCATTAATTATGGCCTGTTCTTGGCCCTTCTTTTTTTTTTTTTCTTCATTGAGTTTATTGGTACATTTTAGGTATACAGTACAGTCACATTCATTGTTGGGAATTTGTACTTCTACATGACATGTCTTGGTTCTCATTTTTTCCCCTTGTCCCTGCCCTCCCTTCACCTCCTCCTCCCCTCCCCCTTTACAAACACTTTATTTCCATTTTTTCAGTTTCTCATATTTTTTTCGTTTCCCTTATTAGCTTTCCCTACCCTTCCCACTTTCCCTACACCTTTAGCCACTTTCTTCCTATTTCACATCGTCCATTATCTCATTAGGATCTTATGTACTATTATAGTTTTTCACACCAAAGAAACTATTCAGTATTTACATGTGTGACTTATTTCACTTAGGAGTATATCCTCAATATGTATCCATTTTCCTACGAATGAATCTAATTTCTCATTTTTTATGACTGAGTAATATTCCATTTTATAGAAAAACCACATCTTCTTTATCCAGTTTCCAACTGATGGGCAAATGGGCTGTTTCCATGTTTTAGCTATTACAAACTGTGCTGCTATAAATATACGTGCGCATATGTCACTGTGATACGATTCTTTTAATTCTTTTGGAAAGATACCCAGCAGAGGGATGGCTGGGTCAAATGGAACCTCTAGTCCCAGTTCTTTGAGGTGTCCCCATACATTTTCATAGTGGTTGCACTAGTCTGCACTCCCACCAACAATGGAAAATTCTTAATTGCAAATCCCTGTACTAACAGAAAGTTAAACACTTCCAACATTCAATGACACAAGATGGACATTTCCATTTCAAAGGTTATAAATAGGGGGATAGCAAGGAATGAGGAAAAAGCAAGGCCAAAATTCAGCAGGGCAAACATTAAATCCCACAGTTCCACTTCTGGCATCCCCAGCAATCTGTGGCAAATTGTAAACTCCAAAGCACTTGGGTGCCTCTGTCCCTATGGTACTTCTGGTGGCTGTAGCTCCTATGGCTTTTCTCTTGGGTCTTGGCCCTTCTTGTAAGCCTGGCTCTCACCAGCGTCTTAGTCCTGCTGTTACTATACCTGCCTTTATCCCCCTGCTATGTTGTGTGATCAATAAACACTGACACATCCAGAGAATGAGGTCTTGAACCAATAAGAGCTAAGATCAAGTCCCGACCTCCCCTTTGTCTCCATTATTATTCTTTTATCCTTCACTGTATCCTCAGTCAGGTCAGGCAGTCCCTGATTGAAATGTAGTGAGAATAAAGTACCTGAAAGAAGGCATTTTTCTGGAATGTAATTGATTTGCACATAGGTATATAGGAAACACTGCCCGATGTCTTAGTCAAAGTGGCAACTCCTTAACCACAGCAGACCCAGCCAGCTGAACAGGCAGGCCTGAGGCCATGTAGCCAAGGCTGAGGTCGTGAACGCAGGGTCCCTGAGCAAGGAGGACTGTCTGACCAGCTCTCCTCTCCAGGCGTGCTGCTGAGGCACAAGCAAGCCACAGGAAACTGACCCTATCGGCAGACCTGGACAGCTCAGACAACTGCACTTCCCTCCACGGGTAAACTAGTACTCCTCATCACTTTGAAAAGGAAGTTCAGATGAAACAAACACTAGTCATAGCTTTCCCCTAAGTCCCACTGCACACCAGACACCAGGTTTCTTCTTAGGAATATAGATCCACCGTGGGAAAGGTCTCAACATCAAAAACCAGTAAGGTAAAACCATCAGGACTACTGACACAACTCTTAGCCAACAGTGTACCATGGCACTAAGCTTTCCCACTGTATTTTAACAGCTCCAACACCACATATCACCTTGCAGTTTGGGGCACCCAGTCTGCTGGAAGAGAAGCTCTCCAGCAGAACCTGAATTAGGCGCTTCTCATCATCCTTCATAGGCGAGGGTGCAAATCCAGCCGCCACACTGTCTCCCGACTTAGAAAAGAGGCCCTTGAGAACTTCATGGCTTTGCTAAACAAAACAAGAAGTTTCTTTTGATAAAAGAAAAACACATGAAAAGTAGATTATCCCAACACAATCAAAACATTTCCTAGGCATAATCATGTTATAGGGAGACAGTTCTATGAAGTTCATTTTAAAATTTTAAAAAGCAATAAAAAAGACTTTATTTCAGCTCTCAGATACTTTAAGGAAGCAGCTTTTCTTAAAGAACTGTCTTATATACAACTCTTACTTTACTGAGAAATATTACCATAATTTCCACTTTTCACATATTAAACAGAGAATTTAACCAGCTTCTCAGTTAATGCTTTGCTAGACTGTCTGTCCCTTTCCAGTTCCAGCATTGTTCA